CCATCCTATCCACCCCGAGAGAGAGAGAGAGAGAGTGACAGACAGACAGAGAGAGAGAACAGTTAACTCCCACCACGGATATCGCCAGTGATCAAACTATGCTAAGTAATCTCAGATAGACTTGCTCATGTACTTTCTGACAGTGTATAACAAAGTGTTATTTATATAAATTAAAAAAAATGAAGCTTACATTCATTACAACTGAATTTAACCTGGTGTTTGTAACAAATCATTCTAAATAAACATTATATAAATTAAATTTGATATTTTTACGCATTTAAGCACAATATGGACCTGGCTTATAAATCACTGACTCACTTATACATGTTTAGCAGGCTGAAGGTTCCCCACAAGAGGGCACACTCCAGTAGTTCCCACTGAAGGGGATGAAACTGGCAATGAACCCATACCATGCTAGGCTAAAGAAGTTACTGTAAATCTGCAACATAAAAAAGTAAAGAATGCATTACTTTAATCATAAAAGGTGCTGAGCCCAGCATAGAAGAGTGAATGTATACCAGAGCCGGTTTGAGAGCGGAGCAGCTCATTGACTATTGGTGCTCACTGACATCATGAACGTACATGAGGTGCCATTTTAAACTCCTATAACTTGAGTTGGAAAGCTCTTAAAATATAACAATGTTTTATGCTGTTCTGTGTTCAGGAAATGAATGTCTTTTATATAAAAAATGTTTAAGCATTTATAAACACTGGTTTTGCTCAAATTCTCCATCTTAACCCATTCATTTTGGACTTGCTCTGGAGCGCCCTCTATTGTTTGAGAAACCCTGAAGACATTACAGAGTAGTGATTCTCCTCTCTACAGGTTCACTGTCTATACCACCGTTAGCTTACTGCTAGCACTGCAAGTCTCATAGAAGCACTAGCAGAAATTAGCATTATATTTGCAGGGGTCAAAATGAGGAAAATGCTGGCAAGAATCAACAAAGAATATAAAAAGAAATGTCATTTTGAAACGCGTAGCCAACCTGTCTGCAATAAAACAGTCACTGCTATAAAAGAATATGGCAGCTATCAAGCACGGCTAATGTAAATTAGCCTCTTTAGCGTATCCTGCACTGCTGTCTTCTGAAAAAAATGCACTCTTTTCTATTTTCGATATGTATTATCAACCCGTACTCTCCAAATTTCCTATATGTGCTCATACAATTCAGAAGGTATTGATGATAGAAGCATGTTTAATGGTTTAGCCTTTTTTAAAGCTTCCAAATAATTTTAATAGAACTGAAAAGATGGTTTGGAGAATGGGTTGGGGCTGGAGAAGACTTGTTCACAGACTGGATTCGACCACATAAGCAAGACTATTTGAGTTTACTGAACTCCAGTTTGAGGCAAATGAGTGTTGTTTTAAGCATTCAGTTAGCACCATGCTAATAGGGGTGTACAAACTTTCATTACTTGTTAGCTACATTAGACTCTTGGAGTGACTATACTGTAAAAATGTATGCAGCTTCTAAACTTAAAAGGTAACAGGGTTAACATGAAATTTTCACTTCATTAAACTCGAAAACAGGGTATTCCATTAGGAGAGGTGTCCATTAAAGTGGAATTTTCAAAATTTCTGCATACTTAAATGCTTAAAATGTAAATCAAGTCCATTTTTTGATGTGAAGTACTCTGGTCTAGAGAAACTCACTCACCTAAAAACTTACATATAGGTTCCCTGGTGGCTTTGGATAGAAAACAAAATGTCTAAATTTGTGTTGTAGTCATGGCAACCCCTGGTTCCTATAACCACCACTGTAAAGAGTCTCTACAATCAACCATTTCACACCAAACCACTCTGAATTACTCTGTTTACATCTCAATTATGCAGACATTTTTGTAAAATCGGTGGAACAAATAAATGAGTGTCTGTTCACCAAAAATCAAACTTTCCTCTATGCAATGCTTGCACCCTGTGGTACGAGGAAGAACCAGATAAAGCTGGTAACTCGGTGAGAAGAGAGAGGGCAGGGTAGACCTGAATCACTCACACACACACACACCGAGATCAGTTTACGACCTGAAACAAGTCAGTCACTCTATTCAGGCCAAAATGGGCCGTTGTTGCACTGAGGGAATTCCAGGTTTCATTTGCTTCCTCTGAGTGTTAATATGCCCTGAATAGCTGCTGATTCACAGGCTGTTGTGTGCGCTGGGAAGGAAATTAAAGCCACTCGGTGAATCGAAAAGAAAATCTGACCTGAAATGTTCTTCAAATCCTCCAGGAAGCAGCTTCAGACATGTTAAAGAAAAAATCTAAATGTACACAGTTCTCTTTAGTGTCTGAAGTATGCTTCTTTAGCTTTAGCACTGCAGCTATGAGGCTAATGTAGCTAATAAGCAGTGTACACACAGTACACAATAGTTTACGCTCTTGTAATCACATTGCAAGCAGTGCTTTAACAAGAAATTCATTAAGTTACTCATTTGTCTCTAACAGAGCAATATTAAAGCTGCACTATGTAAGATTTTACTGAAAGAAGTATTATTGCTGACCGTGGTGCAGCTGCTAGTCAACCTGTAAAGCTTAAAATAATCGTTTAAAAGTCAGAGGCATCGGGTCGGTAGTTTTTCACACCATGTCATATATCTTTACGTATTAACGTCACACACAGACTCAAAAAGAAGGTTCGGCTCGATGTTTAGGTTTCAAATGATCTCAAAATGTTTTTGCAGGTGACCTTCTATGCTGGTCTATGCTGGCTTTGTAGCAGGGATGCTCATGGAACTTTACCCATGCTAACATACGATGCTAGCTGGTGGGGTACAAGTTTCCATTACTTATATTAGCCTCGTAGTTGCGTACATTTAATTTTTCCCCAAATCATTACATTAAAGACATAACAGAACACAAAACAAGGAGACGTTTTTAAGAATGATTATTATTTATATATATTTATATCTATGTGAAACAAATGACAGTCATACCTACACAAACATAAGCAAGTCGACAGTTAGAGATACGACTCAAATAAACACCTATAGGAGAGGAGACGCAGGTATACACAAGGAATTATTGCTTCGTTGCTACTTTTTGTTTTCTTCTTCAGCTGCTAGCTACGGCACAAGACAATATTTATACACCAACGGAAACGCTAACACCAGTGACAGAATCGACCTTTTGCAGAATTCATGAAAAAAAATAAGAATAAGGTTCGTTTCATCACAATACAAAGAAAGTCCAACACGCTTCCTTTTTTAAAGTACAGAAATGTGAACACTCGGACAGAGCAAACAGTAAAAAACACCAGAACAACATCATCATCATCATCATCATTGTCACTGTCAGTGGAGCATCCGATACCTAAACAGATATTTGTTAAAGTATTGATGCAGTTTGCTATTTCTTTGAAATCCTTTCGTTTTTTAAGGTGTACATGCACATACAGCAAACAGCCGGCCACAAGCTCGCACACGTGCACCCCAAATGTTTCAAAGACAAACCCACTTATTTTTCTGTGCACACTACAGCCCCCCCCACACTGACCAGACAAAAATGACCGAGAAAAACAGCAACAAGAAGTGCTGCAATGCACTCAAACTAGTTTTCTGCTGGTGAGAAGGCTACCCAGGTGCTTTTTTCCCCCGAAAATAAAATAAAATACAATAATATCATTAGTGTTCCAGCACTTTTGGTGCTTGGCCTCCTAATTTAAAAACAGAATCAAATTAAAGTAAAATTCAGTCAAAAAAAAGTAGACAAAGTCAAAACAATGTACAGCTCAGCGGTGGTAGCTCAAAGATACAATTACAATTACAGCAGTAATAAAGTGCTTTCATGAGGTGAGCCCTCTGTGGTGGCCAGTCCACTACAGTCCACATACAGTTCACTGTTTTTTTTTTTACTGCAGTGCTTTTAACATTTGGCCTCTCCACAAAGGCTCAGGTTCACTGTTTTGACGTACAAGCCGGGGAGCAATGAGACGAGAGAGTATGAAGCGTTATCGCCCAAAGCACAGGTCACAAGGTCACAGTTCTGCCCTGCGTGTATGTGGGCTTTCTTTTTGTCTTTTTTTTTCCACCTATTTATTGCAAAAGCTCATGTAGCATGCAAAAAGCATCTCATTCGCTTAAGAAAATGCATTGTGATCATGCTGAGATGGCTAAGCATGGGGTCAAACAGGGGTATTTTAAGGTCTAATTAAGGGCCAAGCAACTGAAAGAATATTTCACACAGAGGTATTTCACATGAAGAATATTTTGCATCAGATTTCACACAGTTTTTAAAGGCCAAACACGGTTCTAAAGGGTTTGTAATCACAGTAATGTTGACAAATGTCCTGTACAAACCACACGGACCCTTAGGATTGAATATTGTCACCTTTTTCATGCATAATTTGGTTCTCATAGTCGTTTCAGTGAACAGTATTTCAATTTATTAATCAGCATTGCTGTAAAACGCCCCAGTTCCTTAATGCTATATCCCATTTATGGAGATGCCATACAAGTGGTTGCTATAGTTATACTAGTAAGAGTCCCTGGGCTAGACTCCTAACGCTATTTTGGCCTACCTCTGATTAAATTCTCAATCGCTTTGGATAAAATCATCCACCAAATGCCATAAATGTAAAATATACAAATTTAAAAAATGTAACATGGGGACGAGAGAGGAAAACATGCAGAAAGACACCAAGCGGGCTGACCAGCAACGGAGCAAAAGCACAGTGCTGAGGATGGACTATAAAGAAAATAAAACGCATAATAAAGATTTTTTTCACTTCCCAAATGTTCGAAAGATACATATATACAAATTTTTCCCACAACTGTACAACCTAAGCGGGATATGTGTCAAAACACATTACATTTCGCTCCATCTTTGCGGTTCAGTATAAAACTCACCTTGCTCCGGATTAACTACAGCAGTAAGCATGCAAAAAATGTGTAGTATCAAATACATGGTAACAATAATATTCATATTTTTAATAATAATAATAAGAAGAAGAATCACAACGACACACAGCTAGTTGAGTAAACAAACATCTCAAAGTATCCAACCTCTTCACGACACCTCAGACAGTGTGTGTTTTCGCGATTAACCCTCAGTACATTCGTCACACACATCGGGACCGTGTGGCGTCTAAACCCGACACATCGCCTGATATGCGAAAAAAAAACAATAATGAAAATAACTTTTTGCTTCCCTTTTTTAAAGCATTTCTGAATTGTCAGTGAATGATAGTAACAAAGTCTGATAGTAAACCACTACTACTACAGATAGATATATCACTACAGCACCTATTGCTACACTAATGTGACTAACTCTACATGAGTGAGTGAAAAAGTGCTTGAATTGAAGGAGAGGGGGGTGGTTCAGACCCCGCCCCACCCTCCCCAAAAAAAACGCCACCCTGTCTGCTCCGTGGGACAGTGATGTGTCAAGTGTGTCACTTTCGTTTCCTCCAGTCCAGACCAACTCTGTCCATCCATCACAGAGGCAACCGAAACAAGCCCCTCCCCTCAGCGACCGGCCCGATCATCTTTAAAATTTTATTTTATAATTTTTATTAGAGCTGAAATGAAGGGTGTCTCCCCCCCCACAGCAAGTGAGAGAGAGAGAGACAGGTTGAGACAGAGGACACGTGCAGTGTGTGAGAGCGTGGAGGGGGGTTTTAGTTGAAGACTTTCGGTGGGCTCTCGGGACGTCTGGTCTGGACGATCTTCATCTTGGGCCGGGCCTCCTCTTCCTCCTCCGTCTCGCTCTCGCAGACGTGCACCACTACGCTGGGAGTGGACTCTGTGCCCGCGTGAAGCTCATACTTCTCCCCTGCAGAGAGAGAGAGAGAGAGAGAGAGAGAGAGAGAGAGAGAGAGAGAGAGAGCGAGAGAGAGAGAGAGAGAGAGTTACTATTGTAATCTGATCACAAACATGGTCATGTGAACTAGCTCCTAGTTATATGTGCCATCACAACAATGGAACAGGCAGCAACAGTTTCAAAGTCTCGTGTATTTGACTTAATTGTCCTATCCATGCTCTTTCAGAGCTACTGTTGTACGGTTGGACAAGTTTTACAGAACACTGTAAAAAGCCCATTCGACCTAATGAGAAACTGTAGAACAGACTCAGTTTATATCACAATACCTACATTTAGAGACAGTTATTCATTCAACCTTAATGAGAAACTGTAGAACAGACTCAGTTTATATCACAATACCTACATTTAGAGCCAGTTATTCATTCAACCTAATGAGAAACTGTAGAATAGACTTAGTTTATATCACAATACGTACATTTAAAGCCAGTTATTAATTCAACCTAATCAGAAACTGTAGAACACGACTAAGTTTCTGTTGTAATACTTAGATTCCAAGTGCTTTATTCAATTCAAATGATATTTATTTTGTAAGGTCACACTGTTAGGATAGATCGGGTGTAGTCTTTCTGTCACGTAATAAAGATTTGTGAAGATAAATGTCTGACTCACAAGCTAAACAAAATGTTCACTGGCTTCAGCTATTTCAACATTGCTAACTAGCTAAGCCACGCTCTCTTTCCATCACTGCTGGTGTATGGTTGCAAGGGTCAGTATGGATCATTATGGAAATGCATGAATCAATATTGGCATATGGGAGTGTATGGGACTGCGTGGGTCAACATAGATGTATGGGTCAGTATTGGTCAGTCTGGCTGTATGGGGCTATGTTGGCCAGTATAGGTCAGTACAGCTATATGGGTCAGTATGACTATACTGGTGTATGGGTCAGCATGGATTATTAGGGGCATATGGAAGTGCATGGGAAGGTATGGGCCAGTATGGGTCACTATGGGAATATGGGAGTGTAAGGGACCGTATAGGTCAGTATGGGCGTATGGGACTGTTTGGGTCAGCATGAATTAATAACAGCGTATGGGTCAATATGGGTCAGTATGGGTTAGTAGGAGTGCATGGCAGTGGGAGTGCAAGAGAATGCATGGGTCAGTATGGGTGAGCATGGGCATATGGGAGTATAGGGAACTGTATTGGTCAGTGTGGGTTTATGGGAGTATACAGGGCTGTATAGGACTGTATGGGTCAGTATAGGTCAGTATGGGTGTATGACTCAGTATGGCTCAATATGGATATGTATAGTTTTATGGGAGTATGTAGGACTATATGGGACAGTATGGATTAGTATGGAGTTGTATGGGTTTATGGGAGTATGTAGGACTGCATAGAACAATATGGGTTAGTACTGTACGGGTCAGTATGCATCATTATGGCTGTATGGGACTGTATGGGTCCGTATGGCTCAGTATGTCTTTGTATGGGTTTATGGGAGTAAATAGGACTGTATGGGACAGTATGGGTTAGTATGGGTCAGTATGGATTAGTATGGATAGGGACAGGTATACAGGTCTTTATGGGGATATATGGTACTCTGTCTGTCACTGAGTTTATGGTACTGTACAGGACTGAATGTGGTACAGGAGTACGCCTTTAACCTGCATTTCCCTGGCCCTTTAACTCCTGCCCGGTGTTCTACTGTGTAGTCAGATTATCAGTTAAGCTCGAAGCCCCATTAAAGGTAAAGCTTATAACTAATCCCTACAGAAATAACAGAGGTGAGCAGATGACTTCCTTAAAACCAAGGATAACAACCCGGCTCTCACCTGAATGCCGAGTCAGCGTTTATTTCATAAGAAAGTTGGGAAATTTCTGATGACTATGGTTGAAAGGAATTCATCTTATAGATAACAACATATGGTCTCTCACATTCTGTGGCCTTGAAATTGCAAAACGATGAACATTCTGTGATTTGTAAAGTATAGAGTCTATCGTTGCTTTTTCATGCTGAATGACAATGTACTAAAAAAACCTTACATATGTACATATATAAAATTGTATTTATAAATAGGGTTCGAGATCAAACCACTAATATATTTATGAAAATGTGAATGTGCATTAGTAAGGGTAACAGTGGACTTAGTATATTACTTAGCCAGTTAGTGCTGACTAGAAAAATATTAATGCTATTTGAGTCAATGCCACAGCAGTGTCAGAGTACAGAGTACACAACAGAGTACAATAAATGGCAGCTAGAATGAAGTAAAGCCTCAGATAAGGCATGGTGCCAAATACTCACCAGCACTGTACTGACATACACACAACAATGCAGAAAGCCTCTTTTATGTGCTCCAAACAATGGCCTTTGAGCTAATTTCCTGGTGGCTATTGAAAGGCAACAATGGACAATCTACAGATACTGTATATTTTTGAGCTCTTTGAGAGGTTGCCCAATAAAGGCGCGGCCCCCGTGGAAAAACACGCAGATGCACACAAACGCAGGACGATCGAATCAGGGTTGCCATAGAGACCAGACGGGCCAGCTGAAAAGTGATAAGAGATCAGGCCACCGGAGGCGTCCTTTCATTCTCAGCCAGCAGAGGGAGCTGCAGGCATTTAAATCTTTTAGTAAACAAAGCACTCCCTCTGTCTTAAAGCTGATAGGAGCTCTTGGCAAGCACAGTGCCTGATGGCTGACCCTGCATAGTTAGGAGGTCCAAATAAACTTTATCTCCAAACAACACAGCACTAAAATGTAAAATGAGTAAGTCTTTGTCTTTTTGGCAGAGCAGAATGGGCAGTCTCCACTCTGCTGCCAGTTTATGGTGGCCCTTGTTTTTGTATTTGTATTTGTATTTATACAATTTGCACTATTTTCCACATCAGCCAAGACACATTTGGTGTCCAAATTTTGCCTCTTTGGTGCTGGAGTTATCAGGCAAATGTAGCTAACAGAAACACTAGAAGTCAATAGTCACCCAAATCTTTTCTGTAAATACATCTCCAAAATCTCTCTCAAACCTGCTCAAACTGCATCCAGCTCCTTATTAATGCAGACCTGGATGTGGTCTGAGTGGGTTGAGAGAGGTGTTTGTTAGCAACATTAGTCTCGTAGCTCCAGCCCTAAACAAAAGAAGTTAAATTTGGAACACACATCTTGGCTGATCGACTACATTTGTAGTGAAAACTGTGTTCACTGAATTTCTCAAATTTAAAATGACGTCAAAAAGTGGAAGTCAAAACGTGTATTATCATCAAAAAAGAGCAAAACATAAGTAAGATGTAAGTTCAAAGCAATAGGTGAACCATTTTTTTAATTTCCTTGGTTAGTTGTACGTATTGTGATGGTAGTACAGGCCTACTGTAGTTGCTTGGAGCTCTTTGCCTGTTTTGTAGACAGTTTCCAAATTCAATGTTGGATTCAATTTAAAACATCAATTTATAGTTCAGTCTACACAGTTTTCTTTGTCTGATATACGATATTGTTGATGGGGTGACCTCTTGGTGACCCACTGTGGCCATTTGTCTAGACATAACATTTTGTTAAGCTTATTCACCTCTTCACGTTACATGCTCATCTGTTTTGCATGTCTGAGAGATGGTTGTGAGAAGCACACTGATGTTTTCTGATGGTGCTGAAAAGAAACCGTGCGTATATACAAATATGCACAGGAAACATGGAAAAAAATCATCTGATTTGAATGCTAGACTACAAACGAGCAAATTCGACTCTGTTTATAGTGACAATGACTAACATGTAAAAACGGTCCTGTGGTCAGAAACTGACCTATGATGAATGAGTCGAGGGGGCTGATGAACAGTGCAGCAACAGATGGACTAGTCTGTAACTGTACACCTGGACAGTGGAGGCATAAGGTATGTGGAGTTCATAAAGTGGCTAGTGAGTGGAAGTACAACCTAGACGTTTCTGATAAAGTGGCCATTTAGTGGCAGTACAAGGTAAGTGTTTCTAATAAAGAGGCCAGTGAGTGGAAGCACAAAGTAGATGTTTCTAATAAAGTGGCCTCTCAGTGGTAGTACTAAGTAGATGTTTCTAATAAAGTGGACAGTTAATGGAAGCATAAGGTAGGTGTTCCTAATGAAGTGGCCAGTGAGTAGAAGCACAATATAGGTGTTTCCAATAACGTGGCCAGTTAGTGGAAGTACAATCTAGGTGTTGCTAATAATGTGGCCAGATAGTGGACGTACAAAATGGTTCAAAAGTCAGGTTACCATTTTGGAGATACAAGGCTTTCTTATAATACTGATGATGTATAATATTTATGTGCACATATATAAGTGTGTATGTGCGTATGTGTACCTGGCCCCAGCTTGGCCACAGCACACAGCAGGTCGTAGTTGATGACGGGCGTGGCGTCCTCCCCCTGACTCCACCCTACAGGTGGAGATGCGGGTGGGGAGATGAGAAACTGTTTCATAGGCTGGGGTGGAGCCAGGTACGTCTTATCCACATCCTCACCTGAGTTCTGCACCTGAGAGAGACAAACAACCACAGATGCCTTTTGTTCATCTTTCTTTCAGATCTCTTAAACTCTCAAGCCCATTATACACACAGTAATAATAATACAGTACTCTTTTTATTAACACAGTTTTTTTATTACTGATTTTTCACAAAGTGCCATCAAGGCCCACTGCAGACCACGCACCTCCCCCCCAGTATTGGCCTGAGGACCACCAGAGGGTGCTTCGCTGCCCAGTTGTACTCTGGGGCCCAGTGGTTTGAGAAACCCTGATTTAAAGAATGGTTCTGCCAAAAATGCAAATGCTCCCTCCCACTCACCTGTGCGAAGTAGAGTTTGAGTTTGGAGCCGTTGAACTCAGACTCATGGAGCTCGATGCGAGCGCGAGCTGCAGCCTCCGGCGTACTGAAGCTAATCCGGACTCTCCGGAAACTCTTAAACATCTGGAATGACGTCTGATCATCATAGATTCGGAACAGCGACTCAAACCGTTCCTGCAAAAACACAGACACAGAGCACATAGGTTCATTCAATGATACAGTGAACACAGAACTCATAGGTCCATTCTATTCAATGTTCTAATGTTCTATTGACCTCAGATGGCTCCATTCAATATTAAAGTAAACGGAGAGCACACAGATCTATTCAGTGTCACCGTGAACACAGAGCACATAGGTCCATCTGATGTTACAGTGAACACAGAGCACAGAGGTCCATTCAATGTTACAGTAAGCACAGAAAACATAGGTCTGTTCAATATTAAAGTGAACAAAGAGCACACAGGTCCATTCAATGTCACCATGAACAGAGAACACACAGGTTCATTCAATGTTCTAATGACCTCAGAGCACATTGGTCCATAATGACCTCAGAGCATATAGGTCCATTCAATATTAAAGTGAACAGAAAGCACATATGTCCATTTAATATCACCATGAACAAAGAGCACATAGGTCCATCCAACTTTACAGTGACCACAGAGCACAAAGGTCCATCCAATGTTACAATGAGCACATATCACACAGGTCCATTCAATATTGAAGTGAACAAAGAGTACATAAGTCTATTCAATGTCACCATAAACACAGAGCACACAGGTCCATTTAATGTTCCAATGACCTCAGAGTACATAGGTCCACTCAATGTCACCATGAAGAAAGAGCACATAGGTCCATCCAATGTTACAGTGAACACAGAGCACCAAGGTCCATCCAATGTTACAATGAGCACGAATCACACAGGTCCATTCAATACTGAAGTGAACAAAGGGCACATAGGTCCACTCAATGTTACAGTGAACACAGAGCATGTAGGTCCATTGAATGTTCACTATGACATACAGAAATTACACAAGCAAGTCAATATGAGTTTACCTAACAACAGCATGGTTTGAAACAAGTGTGTGATTTAGCCATGCAGTTTGCGCAGCCCTAATTGGTGCTGTACAGTTATCATTGCTTGTTAGCTACATTAGCCTCATAGCTACAGTGCAAAACTAACGAAGCAAAGTTCAGACACCAAGCATGTCTTTGCTGATCAACTTCAGTTGGTGTAAGGTGGGGAAAGCTATGTACATTTGTTTTTTGTTTTCTCTTTAATGTGTGATTCATTTTGCTGCACTGTGCTGTGGCATGTTTAGAGCAGAAGGGATCGGACTGTACTGGGGGGTGAAATAAGAGACGTGACCTTCCAGTTTATCAGCACGACGCCTCCCCCTTGCTGACGGAGCAGGTACCGAGAGCCAGGTGAGAGGACACGAACACACTGTCTGAAACACTACAGCCTGGACTTTCCAGAACATTCTTACACTTGAGCTCAGCGCATACGTTTTAAGGAGTTGTTTGGCTAAAAATTTTTATACAAAATTAATATACATATAGCAAATTTACAATTAAATTTGCAGTTTCAAATTGGTGTCTGAAGTTTGGACCTTTACTTTGTATGGGAGCTATGTGGCTAATGTAGCTAGCAAGTAATGGAAGCATCATAAATGATGCTACTTAAATGACATAGAAGCATCCCTAAACCTTAACAGTCATTAACAAGGCAAAAATGTATTAATATGCATGATTATGCAAACTGCAAACACCTTATCGCCTCTCGGTTTTCCTGGTTAGGTTTTGTGTCGGTTTTCCTGGTTAGGTTTTGTGGAGGGGCGGGAAGGATGCTGGGTCTTGCTCTTCATATTCCTATCAGGTCTCTTCACATATCAAGGGGGTGGGGCCCACCTTACATCAGTAGCCACGTTTATATGCAGCCTAATAATCCATAAACAATCCGACTAATAGCTAAATCGAAATAGAATACGTCCATGTAAACGCCTCAGTCGGAACAGACTAGTCCGATTGAGGCCATTCGCAATACAGTTTCTATCCGATTGAACGAGGTGGGTAATCCTGTAAATAATCTGTTAAATAGAAGAATAATAGCCATGTAAACGCCTGTATCTGATTCCCAATCTGAAAGATTAAGTACGTTCTGCATGTGCGTCACCTCATAGCAAGTTTATGACGTTCAACATGGCGGGAGCAGAAACTGGTCTGCAGAGGAGACGGAGTTTATGCTCTGAGCTTTAAAAGGCGGCGGTGGGACGGGCGTCCAGCTTATGTGTCTCAGAACACGACGTCTTCCTCTCGGACTTCTTTAAAAAGTACATGTGAAGTACGTTTTCCTGAGTCTGACAACATTATAAAGCAATTAAAAACACAAGCACTGCTCACCGCTGCTCGTCTGATTGTTGAGTAGAGTGAGCATATGAACACCTCAGTCTTAACCTATAATCGAAATATATTCAATTGGATTGGTAAATATCTTTGCATGTAAACACAGCCAGTGAGAAGGGTTTCATGACCAGTGACAACAATAAGAAAATTAATGATCATTTACTCATGATGTGCCCCCAGTAATGCAGAGGTCCCCAGTCACCTGTTCCGCCTATAGCACTGACCCTGGAGCCAGAAATAAAATGAACTGAATTAAATGTACAACCCCATTTCCCAAAAAGTTGGGACACTGTGCAAAATGTAAATAAAAACAAAATGCAATGCTGTGCAAATTATTTAAACTCTGTATTTCATTGAAAATAGTACAAAGACAACATATCAAATGTTGAAACTGAGAAATATTATTGTTTTTTGAAAAATATTTGCCCATTTTGAATTTGATGCCAGCGACACATTCCAAAAAAGTTGGGATGGGGGCATGTTTACTACTTTGTTTCATCACCTCTTCTTTAAATCTTTTAATGATATTACATACTGTAGATGATGAAAAGCAAACGTTCTTTGCTGTTTTATGTTTAGAAAAGTTATTCTTGAATTGTTGCACTATTTGCCTGTACAGTCTTTCACAGAGTGGTGAACCCCTCCTCATCTTTACTTCTGAAAGACTCAGCCTCTCTGGGATGCTTTTGTACACACAATCATGTTAGTGACCTGTTGTCAATCAACTACCAGGTTTTTTTTTAACATTACACAACTTTACCAGCTTTTTGTTGCCCCTGTCCCAACTTTTTTGAAACATGTTGTTGGCATCAAATTCAAAATGGGCATATATTTTTCAATAAAGTTTCTCAGTTTCAACATTTGATTTGTTGTCTTTGTATTATTTTCAATAAAAAATAGGGTTTAAATGATTTGCACATCATTGAATTTTGTTTTTATTTACATTTTGCACAGCGTACCCAACTTTTTTGGAAATGGGGTTGTGCTTTGTGTTCACATATAGCTTTTCTGGGTATGAGTGTACTATTGTACTGTTGCACAGATCAGTGTGTCAGTGTGTGTGTGGTGCGGTCTCGTGAGCTGAAAATGAGGATTTGGAGGTGAAACTGTGGGATTATGTGGATGATTGCGGTTTATAAAGAAACGGAGCTCACAGGGCTTGACAGCTGTCTGCTGTCTGAACCACACAGATGAACAGTGAGACGGAACAGGCAGGCGGCTCCGGCCTTCTGACCCACATTACTACAGAACCAGTTCATACGCAAGTATTAGCCAAACCACTAACCAACTGGTCACTGTTAGGCCTCACTGTGACCCTGAACTCTTTGAGAGAGACTAACCTCCCTAGTCTGTGCACTCTCATAAAAGAAGGTTCTTAAAGGGTTCTTTAGCAGAAGGCATGGTTCTATTGAGAAAAATGAGTTCATGCTTTCATGCTTAAATGGTTCTTTGCATGGTGACATAGTTCTTCAGATTGATGAAAATGTGTTGGATGTGGTTCTATCTAGAATCTTTTTGAAAATGGTTCTACATAGCTCCAAAAGGGTCTATATGGAACCATGTACAACACATTCAATCTGAAGAACACTTTCACAATGCAAAGAGCCATTCAAGCATGAAACGGTACTATAGGACCCTTGAAGAACCATCTTTTTTAAGAGTGTGGAGGCCAGATGTGATCTTGCAATGAGAATACACATCTGGAGATGCCATCAGGGAACAGATCATTCAGGACACGTCATCATTCTGAAGTCGGTGTCACTGTCAAATGTATGTTGGACAAAAATATATTGGGTTTGGAAAATTCTTGTTCACAGCAGGGAAAATAGCCAAAATCCTGCCAGTTAAAAAATCTGAATCATAATAAAATATCTCCACTTGTTCCAGGAAGCAAACAGAGAGAAACAATTCATACATAATTAAATTATCATGGGCTTATTTATACAAGTAAAATAATTGCTCTCTTATTTCTCTTTCTCTCTCTCTCTCTCTCTCTCTCTCTCTCCCTCATTATTTCTGCTCTCACTCTTGGTGTCGTTCTCTCTTTAATGTCTCTCTCTCAGTGCCATCTGGCTACCTGTGGGGGAATTAAGCTCATGTGCCCCGTCCCGCCGGCTCTGTTTTTGCGCCGACCTGCTGCAGGAGGACAGCTTTGAGGAACCGCTCTCTCTCTCTCTCTCTCTCTCTCTCTCTCACACACACACACACACACACACACATACATACAAGTTCAAAAGCAGTATGGACTAAGGGTTAGGCAGTATGGACAGAAATAAAGTGTATTCATATCTATGAATTAAAATATGTATAGATATCCGTTATTATTATATGCATCTCCTAATGCTCAGTTTTAAGCTCTTTAATGGAATTCTGAACTGCAACTAATAGAGAAGGCTTATTCTGGTGCAACAAGCAAAAAATATTCATTATCAAGATGGAACATGAAATTAATATACATATAGCAAGCATGTATTAGTCCACTGCAGGTCCACCCTCTGACCACCCAGATTTTTTAATCTCCTCAAACAGATGTTCAATGCACACTGTCTTTCAGTTTGGAAAATAAAGACAAATATTACAAACAACTGAGAGAAAAACTAGGCATAATATAAAATGACTTCGTTGAAAATGTTGTTGCTTATTTACTAAACTAATTTACTAAGGATAACATAAGAAAGACGAGTGAAAAATGAGTGATGTAAAGTAGTATTTAATCTAACACTCTGCTTAACCACCAGTGGGCTGCCCAGTAAACGCTATCTGGGATAGAT